TACATTGGAACCCCGCGATGCGTAGAGTAATATAAGACCTTACAATAAACATGATATATTGACAGAATTATTGTAGAAAATTTTGAATTTTCATATGTGAAAATGTTTTCTTCTCAAGTGGCAGAAATACATAACATGTCAGGTTCGATAGATAATATTAGATTATATCTATGAACAAATAATGGTGTTCATTTTGAACCCCGCGATTAGTAGAATAATATAAGGCCATAAAATCGAAGGTATATTGACACAATAAAAGAAGCAGATTTTGAATGACCTTATGTAAACGTAATTACACGTACAGGAACTCAGTAATTTTTCAATCTTTATAAAAACATTTTTATGATATTTATGTAGAAAAAAATTGTCTTGATTCTGAACGCGGCGTTGCATAGAATAATAAAATAGCATAAAATCAATATGTTATTTTGGCGGAATGAATGTGGAAAATTTTGACTGTCCGTATGTAAAACACACTCCACGTAGAGGAAGACGGAATACTTCAGGTTCTAGAAATGATATTATATGTTTGTGTACAAAAAGATAGTGTTCATTGAGATCCAGGGAATGCATAGAGTAATGTAGCGTCATAAAATCGATATGATATGACGACAGAATGAATGTGAGAAATTTTGAATGGTGACATGTAAACTTTATTCCACGTAAGAAACGCCGTAAAATTGATGACTCGATAAATAATATTAAGATATATCTATGTACAATAAGATGAAGTTGATTGTAATCCCCGGGATGCGTAGAATAGTGTAAGACCAGGAAATAGGCATGATAATGACCGCTTGAATGTGGAATAATTTGAATGGTCATATGTGAACTGCATACCACGTTGCATATCTCTGTGATATTTCAGGTTCGATTAACGTTAGATGTTATTTATGTACAAAAATGATGTTCATTTGAACCCCGCGATATGTAGAATACGATAACACATTAAAAACGATATGAGAAGATGAGAGAACAAATGTGGTAAATGTTGTATGGTCATATATGTATCTAATTACACGTACCGGAATACCGTAATATTTCATGCTCGATAAATAATATTTGATGACGTCTATGTAGAACAGAGTAGAGTCCACTGTGGTTCCCACGATGCGTAAAATAATATAATACCATTGAATCGATATTATATATTGATAGAATGAATGTGGAAATTTTTGAATCGTGATGTGTAAATGTCATTCCACGTACCTGAACTGCAAAATACTTACGGCTCGATAATTAATGTTAGATGGTATTTATGTGCAAAAGAATGGTTTTCATTGTGTACCCCGCGACGCGCAGAATAACATAAGACTATAAAGTCGACATGACGAATTGAAGGAATGAATGTGGAAAATTTTTAATGGAAAATTTTATATTCCCGAACCACGTAATACTTCAAGAGATATAGATAATTCTATCTGTCAAATATGAACAAAAAAATGGTGCTCATTGTGAATCCCACGATGCGTAGAATTAAATGTGAACATAAAATTGATATGATATATTGACAGAATGAATGTGGAAAATTTTGAATGGCCATGTATAAATCACATATCACGTACCGAAACACCGTAAAATTTCAGTCTTGAAAAATAATATTAGATTAAATTTCTGCACAAAATGTTTGTGTTGTTTGTGAACACTATTATGTATAGAATAATATAAGACCATAATATAGGTACGATGAATTGACGGATTGAATGTAGAAAAATTGGAATGGCCTTATGTAAACCTCATTCCTCGTACCAGAATATCGTAATATTCCTGGATATAAATAATGTTATATGATTTTTGTGTAGAAAGAAAGGACTTCATTTTAAAACACGCGATGCGTAGACTAATATAAGTCATAAAATCGATGTAATATACTAATAGAGTGAATGTGGAAAATTTTGAATTTTCACATGTAAACGCCGAACCCAATGGGAGAAACGAAATACTTCAAGGGTGATAAATAAAATTTATTCGACATGATATACAAGAACAATTATGTTTATACGGGTTGCCGCGATGCGTTAAATAGCATAAGATCATCAGATAGAGATAATATATTGATATGACAGTGTTGAAAATTTTCAAGGACTCTACGTAAACTTCACTCCACATTCCGTAGCATCTTAATAGTTCTACGTCTATAAATAACATTAGATCATTCTTATGTATTAAAGAATTGTGTTCATAGTGATTCCAGCGCTGCTAAAATAATATAAGGGTTTCATATCGAGATAATTTATTGATACTGTGAATGTCGAGAATTTTCTAGGAGTTGTAAACCACATTCCACTTAACGGAATACGGTAATATTCTAGGACGATAAAAAAATATTATAAAATTGGGTTCATTTTGAACACCGCAATACGTAGAATAATAAAAGACCATCACATCG